ACAAATAAACAAAAGAAATAAAAAATATTTGACTACCTGTGGATTAAAAATCCTCCTGCTTTCTATCTTCAATAATGGACTTTTTATTTGCTATACTATACTGAGGAAACTGTAATAATACAAATACAGAAAATGTACATCTGTAATCAAACTCCCTCCTGGTGTAAATTCCGTCTTCACTGTGGATTGATCTGCTCAAGCTATGTATTTCTTAAAGAAGCTACCTGAACATCTTGCTTTGAGACCAAAGCAAAAATCACACCTTCTTACTCAAATCTTTACAACTTCAAAGTCTATTAAGAGAATGGACCTTGTAAGCTTAATTCCACACTCCATTTATTACACTTTGCAGAAGTGGATATAGAGTAGAGAATTTCTTCTTGTTGCTGTGAAAGAAAGACCTTTGCAAATCTTCCCAGTCACCTGAGGCAAAGCTCATAAACCTTGACAACTTTGCCCACAGTGTTTTCAAAGAGCTCCACTGGAAAAAGCTTTTCTTGGTACTCATTATCTGATCTGTCCAAAGTTCACCTTCCTCACTGGAATACAAAAAAAAAAAAGTGACAGACAGATGAAAGTACGTTAGATATTTCTGATTTTTTAAACCTCAATAAGAAGCTTCTGAAAAGGCAGAGGGAAGAGAAATTTACCCTAAAGATGGGATGTGACTGCAATTTGGCAGGATTCTAAACCAAAATCTCCTGCTTAACCTTTGGCTGTAGCTGAATGTTCCAGATTCCTTCAAAGAGAACAACTCCAGTTGCACTGCATGCTTGGTATGTTGGAACATCTCACGAATCTCAAGTCAATGTAAATAGAGAAGGGTTAAATGTCTAGTCAAGTTAAAATAGAAGGTGCCTACTCCTTTAATTTTCTGAAACCTATTGCTTGTAGTGGAACTGAGTAACGCTCCTCAACATGGAGAATAAATGTTCCGTAAATGTTAGAAAAATATGTATACATTTCCTGAGAAAGATACAGTAGAAGTCTTGATACTTGACACCACACTAAAGTTCAGGAATGGAAGAAAACCACACCATCATTTATTTGTCTGAGAGCTTTTAATTATTTTCTCCTTCTATTTGATTCAAGAGAAAACCTGAACACTACACTGGTACTAGATAAAATGTGTACGTACAGGGCCTTTTTAAAAATTGTGCTTAGACAACACAAGATACATTTTGAAACCAAGTGCAAAACTTGGCACATACACACTGCTTATCAAGGGATGCATCCTAAGTTAGGTCTGGTAAAGAAAAGTCAAAAAATAAAATGAGGAAGATCTTGATGGAGAATAGTGAAAAGAAGTTTGAGTGGAAAATGCAATTCATAGAATTTTTTTTTTTTTTCAATCTGAGCAAAACAATTTGGGAAAATGAAGATTCTGAATATATTCCAGAAGATGCTGGGTACAATATTCTCGAGCTGAACTCCAAGAAGTATGCATCACCTAAAAAAATTCTCTATATCAATCTCCCTACAGAGTTCACTCTGGTTCACTGTTTCCTTTGGTGCTATTGTCTGCCATGGGGTTACCATCAGAGAACACTGGTAGGCAGTACTTCCCTCTAACATCTATTTTCAACCGCCTAAATTGGTCTTCATAGGATTCCATTGTGCACACACACTGCAAAGAAACTTGTCTTGTTGCCAGCTAGAACTGTGAACTACATGTCTTTCTTTTCTTCACTGTTCTTTTTCTGGTTCACAAGCAACCTCCTACCAAAAGCAGAATCTGCAGAAGAGACTACATCCAAGCGATAATGCAATGAAAAAGTATGAAGAGAAGCCCAGGTGGCCACCTTGCAAATTTCCAATGTGGAAGCCTTCGACCTCTCCGCCCAAGAAGCAGCTATAGTCCTAGTGTAATGAGCTTTACAAACCCTGGGAGCCTCTTTACCCTTAACTACATACGCCTCCCTAGTACAATCCCTTAACCATCTAGCTAAGGAACTCTTAGAAGCCATTTGACCCCTCTTAAGACCCCCTAAGAGTACAAACAATCTGTCAGAAGATATGAAATCTTTGATTCTTCTGTGATAAACCCTAAGTGTTCTTCTTACATCCAATTTATGCAGCCATTGCTCTTTGTCATTGCTGGGTTTAGGGAAAAATGAGGGCCAAGAAACCGTCTGGTTTAGATAAAACTCATATACCATCTTTGGGACAAAAAAAAAAAAAAATTATAAAGAGGAACCATCCAAAGAACTACTTTGTTTCTGACGGAACTTTACACATGTTCTATAGATCAAGATTGAAGTATTATGGGATATGCTGAACAAAAAACTAAAACTGCCATTGAAACAACTACACACATAAACACAACACTTGACACAAGCACATGAAAAAACATTTTTGTTGCATCTCTGCATGAGTTACATAGATAAAAAGGCTCCTGTGAATACTAAAAGCAACCTAAGAGAAAAGGAAGCGAGTGCAAGGTTTCAATATATGTGATGCTGGGGAAACTTTAGCTCCCTTGGATATTAGCGTACCTTTTATGAATTGGCCAGCTTCCCTTAATTTGCCAGCAGTAGGACTTGCAAGGGACTGATACTCCAGATATGACTACACTGCAGTGACTGCAAGGCAGTTTAGCTACACCCAACCTAGCTTTAAACCAGTGAGAGGCAGTATGAGTAACTGTCTAGCTCAGTTCAATCTGGGCTAACTCACTCTGCTTCTTAGGTTGGTTCTGCAGCCCGTGCTGGCTTGTAAACCTGATACTGGTACTTGAATTAATTTAAAGCTGCTTTGGAAAGATCTAGATCCTACTAAATTAAGCAAGATTTCTAGTAAGAAGGGTTCTAAATAAGTACAGAAAATGACCATTATGTTTTCTAGTCAAATATTATAATGTGTTCTGATGAAAACAAGGCAAGGATTCTAATCAATCCTTCTTATCAAAGCTCAGACTTCATCAGTGAAAAAAATAAGACTATAAGCCCAATATAGGCCATTAATAAAGAAAATCTTAAATCCCTTTTGGTACTTAACAGAACCTGGAACTACTGGGAACATAGCTCTCATTCTCCCATATCAAATCATCTTTCACTTCATCACTACAACTGAGACTTCTGACGATATGAACTGAAAATAACACCAATAAATCCTTCTTTAGTCCAACTTTTTTTTTTTTAAACTTCTCTGGCAATGTCTTTACATATTACTGAGAAACTGATAGATTTATGAATAAAATCATCTGATCAGAATAGCAATATTAAGAACAGAAGTATATCTGATGACTTCACTAACATCCCCTGGAAAAGATTTACCTTCACCTGTGTTTCAGGGTAAATGTAATCTTATGCTTTCTTTAGAACAGACCTACCCAGAAGACTGCCTCCTTCAAGAAGACCTGGTAATACTTGCCATTTAGGTTTGATTAATTAGATGCACCATTTAAGAACTGACTTGCTATAGACAGGATTACTCTAAAAGAATATTCCTCAAAGAAGACTTAACACATTTTTTTGAGGAGCAGCTCTAAGTGTAATTAAGCTTGGTGGAATGCTTGCTGGATAAAGCCCTAAATACACTTCCTAGAAAACAAAATATTTCTTTTTAACACTGACATCATTAAGTACTCTGAATTACTGGAAATCACATGTCTTTCGGGTATACTTAAATAAATTTTCCATTCAAGAGTTTTTGTTTTTGTTTTTTTTTACATTTTATTACAGGATATACAAATAAAAAGAACACTTGAAATTACCCTTACTGAATGTATACTATATCCTACACATTACCCTTATAAGAAGTTTACTGCAACACCTCTTTGTAGGATCAAGGGCATAAAATGTAAAACATAGTGTATAGTAGCTTAACATTTCTTGAGAATTAGTAAAACTGAGAGGTCGAAGAAGGCAGAAATACATTGAAACCAAAAGAAAAAACGGAACCTGAACGCAGATTTTATTTGAGCCTTTATGTATGTTCTAAAAATACATGGCTTTAACCTGTATTTAAGAGTGTCAGTATTTCAGATGAAGAATTCATTAACAATATCTGTGCCTCAGTATCCTTCTTATTTAATTTTAATTTTTTATCAATTTAGTATTCTGAGACTACATTCCCAAAACATCTTTCTTCTCATTCTGCATCTTGACTAGAGAGATATCAAATGTTTGACTCCACCTATCCTCTCTCCCCAAGCAGCCTGGCCTCATTTCTGGTCTGATCCTCTCCTGCAGTTTAATCAAAGCTCTTGAAACCACTTGCTCTCTGGTGATCTGGAGTCTCTCTACTGGCAGAAGTAGCAGAGTAGAACAACATTTATGAGCATACTGTGATCTGGGAGGTGTTATTCACCTGAATTTTTGAAATTTTAGGTTCTCCTCATATGACATGAATGCAATTAGATGATACAGAGAGTCACCTAGGAATCTAAAGCAAACGCAAACTTGAGGCTTGACTGTGAACAAATTAACTTTCTGAGGCAAAGCCTATTTCTATAAAATATCCACTCAAGCCAGTCAGATAAATATGATAGCAAATATAGCACAAATTAGTGTTTGTAAGAACTATGGTTTAAAGCAGAACTATATACGAAAACATTTATTTGCATGTATAATAACGTCAATTAAACAATGTCGAAGTCAGTGTTTGTTTCTCTTGTAAAAGGCAATGTCCAAAGATAAGTTCAGAAACAGTCACAGTTTCAAATTCAGACTTTATGTATTGTTTTGTCCTATATGAAACATATGATTTTATATACAATTCAATAGGAGATATAATGTTAAAGTGTTTGACAGTTTGTTATTTTTTTCCATCAGTAACTACTGTACATCACATCTTTACACACAACTATCAGTTCTTTTCTGCAAGTCATTGTGATCAAATATAAATCCATACATTTCAAAAAGATTTCCAGTGGATATGGTAATACACTTGTTTTTTAAGATATGGTGATATAAATTAGATAATTAATGTTTAAAATCACATATAATTATCTTTTTTGCACAAAGTAGAATTAATAAATAAGGAAAAGTGTTCATTACCTTGAGCATTCTTATTCCTCTCAGTAAATGAAGGCACCAACAGAATTTCTGCAGAGAGCTCTTTAATTTTTTCTTCCATTAATAAAAAGAGCTTGATAAGTTGAGAAAGACATTTGAGTTGATATAATGTCAAGCAGAAGTTCCTTCCTTTTTTGGGGCATTCTTGGGAGGCTGTTCAAGTAAAATCATAGAATACCTTTTAATACAGCGTAAAAAAAGATCCTTCAAAACTGATTATGTAAGAAAATATATCAAGTAATTTCATTTTTGTCATAGCATAATGTGTCTTTTTCTCATTATAAAATACTCTTATATCAGTTCTTCCTAAGTCTTTGGCATTTCTCAACTCTCTGGAAAGTTGCAACTGAATTCCAGGTTTTGTTATTTATTAACTAGGATTTTTTCCAAGCAACAGATCTTCTCAGAAACCTTCTCACCTGTGTTTTACATAAATACCATTGTGTTGTAAAACTGATTGAACAAAAGGAAAAAAACCCATGTCATTACTGAATCTTAATGGTTTGGGACATCATATCACTACACTGTCACTCTGCAAGTCACCTTGTCTGTTTAACAATCTGCTAGCACAGTACAGTTGACGAATATGACATTTGAGTAAAAAGAAACATCAATCTAACACTCCATAACTTTAAATATGTGGGGCTTGAAAACAAGTGAGACTGTCAGTGAACAAATATCAGCAAGTATTATACCTATAAGCAGTTGGTATTTAAAAGCAGAAACTGAACATTTTAATTTGAAAGGTTAACACTTGTAATCATAACACATAATCATGTCACATCAACCAGAGAACTCTGATTTGAGCACAGACTATAAAAGACTGTAAGCTGTTTCCAATTCAGTATTACCAAACCACATGGGTTTAAGCGTTTTAATTTTATAACTTCTTTAAATGTAATGAATTTGCACTTCTGTGCAAATTGTCATGAGCTGATACCATGTTCCTATGCAGTTCTGTTGCAGATGTAACATCAGAAGAACAGTTTATGCAGAAAGTGTCAGAGCAAGAGCCAGAGTAGTTTGAAAGGGAAGCTCTGAAAGACGAAAACAAATAGAAATTGATTGAAATGTTCTTTTATGTGTCAAATATCTCTTACCTTTGCAATTTTGAAGTACCCAATACTTCCCTTTCCCCTCAAAGCTAGATATGATTTTTTAGGTATTCACAAATCACTTTTAAATAGACATAGATCTAAGTAGCAAAGCTGAGCTGTGAATATAAATTCCCTAATTTGCTATTCCAGTTTTGCAGTCTTAGAGATTGAGCTGTGAGTTTTGCATTCACATCTTAATTTCCTCAAGGTTCCAAACAGATGCATTCATGCTAGTCCCTTGCATTTCTAACAATGGCAAAGGAAATTGTTATTCATAACTGCCTCTGTTAGTGCCTTTCCTCTCTGAATAACAAGTAAATAATATCAGTATCACTGGATTTCCAATTTTAAGTCGTAAACTTCCAAGAAAAGACATTCTGCTGTTCAGAGAATTTTTCTCCTTTACCTGGAAACTTCATTTAACTGTCAAGAAATGACTTCCTAACACTCCAGACAGCCAGACATAAGAGATCCAAGATGTAAGAACCACAGATAACATAATAAAAATCAATGGAACATTAGTTGTGTGTAATTTTAAAACCTTGTGATGTTCCTGGCCCTCTCTTGAGGAACAAAGAAACCTTCCAATTACATGATTGCCCCAAGCAATATTGCCCTTATTAGACTGACAGGAACTGGACCTAAAAGGCAAAGGTTACTACAGTAATACTAATTTTAGAATACATTACCAAACTCAGAAAAAAGTCAAAACTTAAATTTTTACTTTCAAAGACCATTTGAAGTACATTTCAGCTGGAAGCTGAAGATAATGAGTTCAAAGATCCTTCATGCCATTTGGAAGTTGAGAGAACACTTCAATAAATGACAAAGCATATGCAAACATGTATATAGTCATCAGAGCAAAAGCTTACTATTTAATATTACATATGTTCTATGATATCTAGAAAAGCCCTTAGACTTTTAGGTTAAGTACAGACAAATTCTAGGTGCTTGTAGCTAGTGGAGAATACTGGGTTAACTTTATGGCTGACACAAAACTGACATAAAATTAAGAAACAAAATGGAGGTAAGCACAGAGGTTTTTGACAAAGTGACACAAATATATGCACTATCATCTGGTAACCAGCCAACCCTCACAGCCAGGAGGAAAGGAGGCAGTAGAACAGTGGTTTAAGTACACTCATGAAAGCCTGAAGTTGAAACCCCTTGAAAGAGAGATTTGAAACTCATCAGACACCTATAGGCAGTAAGAACGTGGTGATCCAATTCAAAACAAAATGGTGTGTAAAACTCTGCGATCAGAATATGGTCAAGATAAAGGCATCAGAAAATAGAAAGGAAAGATGAGACCACCATGTAAATATTATTCTCCTAGAATTGTTGACACTGAGGGAAGGCGGCTAATAACCATCTTGCACTACAGCTGTAAGGCAGAGAATCCTTAATTACACACAACCGAGATCTTAAGACTTCTCTGGAAGAAGGCCAAGTGACCAAAAAGCAAGCAAGGAATCAATCAACCAAATATCTATATGGGATATAGAGAGAGCTTCATATACTACAGGTAACCCATTCTTAAATTTTCTTTAGTCCTCTGTTAGGTTTTGTTGTGCTAAAGAAAATGTTACGCGACTTACATTGGACATGAAATTATACCAAAGATCCAGCTGTGACAAAGAGTCATGCATCATTTACACAAGCTTTTTTCTACAACATTACAGATGAGTAAAGCCACATACTCTTTTCATTAGCAATCACTACAAATCATGCTCATATATCACTGAACAATCAACCAAAACTGATTGCGGTAATGCAGTAGGTATTTCAAAGGACGAGTGCTGGTCCAGTAATACCTCTCAACTGCTGACCTGCACAGCTCACATGAAGTTATATATATATGTCTTATTCTGCATAGCTTACAGTTTTTGAGGCTCTTGGCTCAGGGCAGTAATCTTTGAACTACTCACCTGAGCTATCCAGGACTCTCACAGCATGGCATTGTTCCATCTCATTTTTCTCATACAAAAACCATGGGTCTTACGACCTCAGCCACTACAGCTGCAGAAGCATAAGTGTGCCAGAAACACAGACAGACTAATTCTTATATAAGACTGGTGCTGTTTTTGTGGGTTTGGATAACAAAAGCATGTTATCGAACAGTAAAACTTTTGGAAGAAGTCAGCTTGAACCTCAACTTTGCTTACTTGATCCACAGCAGTGTGGAAGAAATGGACAGGGGGAATAACCAGAAGTGAATTTCTTTTGGCATATGGTAATTTCCATATACATGTCTATGATTCCGTAAAAAGTACTTTAGGCTTCTGTTATCTGGACTGTGGTCCCTTCTAGGAGATAGGGGGAAGAAAATGTGGAAAAGACAAAAAATTTAATTGAATTAACTTGAACCTACACTGCATTTATTTGTAAATAAATCTTAATGGTTCACTACAGAACACTGGAAGGAGCAAAGGAATAAGCTCAAAACTGTCATCCTCTTACAATCCCTACATTTAGAAAATCTGTACTTTTGACCTCCTATCACATAGAAGCAAAGGGGGCATAAAGGGTACTTCATTTCCTCTGGTGTGCTGATTTATCACCCCAACCATCAGATGACTGGCAGCAGGAGTCTGCCATCCTAATAAGGCGAGTCTCAGAGAGCTTTGTTTATAGAAAAAAAAGCTCCAAGTAAAACTAATATTGAATATTTATGAAATTGTGCAAGGTTTGTCAATGCTGGGGCCAAGGCGGCTGATGCAGTCACACAGCATCAGAGAAACTGGGGGCACTTATTTTTGAGTTTGGCCTTTCTCTTCAGCAGAATGGACTGAAGCTGAAGAAATCTTCTTAGGATCTGGAGGACATGCCACACTTAGAATCACAGAGCGGTTTGGGCTGGAAGGGACTTTAGAGACCATCCAGTTCCAATCCCCTGACACGGACAGGGACACCTTTCACTAAACCAGATTACTCCAAGCCCCATCCAGCCTGGCCTTGAACACTGCAGGGATGTGGCAGACACAGCTTCTCTGGGCAACCTGTGCCAAGGTCTCATCAACCTCAAGTGTTCAAGAATCACAGAATCATAGAATGGTTAGGGCTAGAAAGGACCTTAAGATCATCAAGTTCCAACCCCCCTGACATGGGCAGGGTCACCTCACACTAAACCGTATCACCCAAGGCCTCGTCCAACCTGGCCTTGAACACCGCCAGGGATGGAGCATTCACAACCTCCCTGCTCAATCTATTCCAGTGCCTCACCACCCTAACAGGAAAGAATTTCCTCCTTATATCCAACCTAAACTTCCCCTGCTTGAGTTTTAACCCGTTACCCCTCGTCCTATCACTACAGTCCCTAATGAAGAGTCCCTCCCCAGCATCCCTATAGGCCCCCTTCAGATACTGGAAGGCTGCTATGAGGTCTCCACGCAGCCTTCTCTTCTCCGGGATGAACAGCCCCAACTTCCTCAGCCTGTCTTCATACGGGAGGTGCTCCAGTCCAATGACAATCCTTATGGCCTTTCTCTGGACCTGTTCCAACAGTTCCATGTCCTTTTTATGTTGAGGACACCAGAACTGCACACAATACTCCAGGTGAGGTCTCACAAGAGCAGAGTAGAGGGGCAGGATCACCTCCTTCGACCTGCTGGTCACGCTCCTTTTGATGCAGCCCAGGACACGATTGGCCTTCTGGGCTGCAAGCGCACACTGCCGTCCCATGTTCATTTTCTCATCAACCAGCACCTCCAAGTCCTTCTCCGCAGGGCTGCTCTGAATCTCTTCTCTGCCCAACCTGTAGCTGTGCCTGGGATTGCTCCCACCCAGGTGTAGGACCTTGCAGTTGACATGGTTAAACTTCATAAGGTTGGCATTAGCCCATCTCACAAGTGTATCATTCCTTCCCTCCAGTGTATCAACCAAACCACACAGCTTGGTGTCATTGGCAAGCTTGCTGAGGGTGCACTCAATCCCACTGTCCATCTTATCAGAGACCATCTGTCTGGTTCTATCTGGAAAGAAGTCCTCAGGAGGTAAGAGTAAGCACTTTCATCACCTGGATCAATCAACCTTCTAAACTAGGGGTTACAGATGGAA